TTTTACAGAGATATTCTTAACTGTTTTGACGAGTATAGTCGTGATAACACGACGGATATATATATAACAGTTAAGAATATCTCCGTAAAATTTTAATTTGGAATTCATTGTATATTGCCTAAGTTATTCGCTATTGGAACGTATCTGTGCAAAGTTTAAAGACGTTTACGGTTCCAACAACCTCGTTTCTTAAAAGAAGAATTTCTCCCCGTTGGTAAAAATACATCAATTTTCGTCTGCAGAATTTTTCTCCTCCAACTCTGAACAAATATCTCTGTAGAATCTGAATCCAGAATTCGTTACATTTTCGAGGCGATTCACCATCGAATCGCACTCGCGTAACTCCGAGGCTTTCCGCACGATTGAAAATAAGGAACTGAACCAATCAGCTTGGAACTTCAGCCGTGTACCGAGAAACACTTCTACGACGATCGTTTAACCACTCTAGCCTCGCGGCGTGACCGCGTATCTCTACCTTTAGGAAGCTTCGCATCCGTCGCGCAAAGCTGGCTCAACACTTGACATCCGAGAGCTTTCGATATTATTCAATGAATCCGCTTTTACATATTTAAAACAGAAACCTCTCGTTATCATTGGATCAAGCTGGCAGCGAACCGGAGCTGTTGAATTATGTCGCGCGGCTTAACGCGTCCGTTGTCGAGTGCGGATCCGACGTTAGAGTAGACTCTCGACGGTTTCGTAATGAGACGGACGGATATGATGAATGCGATACGGTGTGTCGCCTCGCGGGGAGAGACACGTTTGGATTCCTGCTTTCATTGAAAAGGAAAGGAATGTCAATTGGCCGACGAGACTGAACGGGACGGGACGGGACCAGACCAGACCAGACGAGATGGGAAGAGACATGGTGGAAGGACTCGGTGTCAAGAGAATCGCCGCAAGAGATTAAAAGAATGACAAGTACCGCTCTCCGTTGGTCTAGGATCCGACCGAGGAATTCCCTCGTCGAGGCGAACTCGTTCCACGAATAAGAGGATTCTCCCGGCCAGATTAGGGGCTTAATAATGCCCGTGAATGGACAACTCGACCGATTGAATTTCATTCCGAGAACGAACGGTGCACCGGTATCTATTATCTTGATCGGAAAGCAGAATCCTACGGGTGTACTGAGTGGATCTATCAAATTAACTGAAAACCCAGTTTCACTGCGGACGGAGAACGGAATTGTATAGATTCAGCGGTGAAAAATTTTTAACATAATTTAAGGACATTTTATTCATTTCATCACGTTCATTTATTCGAGGGGAAAAAATCCTTTTTATAACAGAAGATCAGGATTTGTTCATTTTCTCAATTGGCGACACTAAGTTTTTTGGAGGAACATATTCTTGTGATACACTGAAAGGATTTTGCTTGTTTTTCTCATTATACAAGACTCTGATATGTAAATCTGTCTCGAGGAAAATGTTGTTAGTACTATACAGAAGAATTTTTGGGCAATGTAGTACTTTTGGTACTAGTTAGTACTTTTGGACAGACCTGGTAGTTTCGAGATAATCTCTAGTATTTTTAAAATAATCTGGAACTTCTGGAAGAATACAGTGTTTTTTTAGACAACCTTGTCATTTAAAACAACTCAGTACATACTTGTGGAACACACATTCTAGTACTTTAAAAACAACCTACTAGATGCATCTGAAATATTCTATTCTAAATATTTTAGAGTACTTCTGAAACAATCTAGTGCTTTTGAAGCAACCTAGTACTTTTGGAACAATATAGCATTTCTGAAATAATGTGTACTGCTTTTAGAACAACTTAATACTTATGGGAGCATGTAGTATTTTTGAAATAACCTAGTACTATCGCAATATCATAGTACTTGTGTAACAACCTAATACTTTAAAAACAATGTGCAAACACATTTGATATATCCTACTCTAAATCTTCTATAGTACGTCTAAAACAATTGAGTACTTTTAGAATAAACTAATGCTTTTGAAACAACCTAGTAAGTACAGTAAATTCTCTGTAATTATCACTCAGCTTTTAATAAAAAATGGACAATTTGGAAAGAGGAGATACGATAATTCGAGCCTTGTGGCTCGTTTTTATAATTGTTGACAATCGGTAGCTATAGAAACGAGCAGCAAGGCTCGAATAATCCTCTTCCAAAATTGTGCATTTTTGTTTCCAAACTGAGAAGATTTATTAATTAGGGAGAATTTACTGTACTTCTAAAATAATCTAGTGCTTTGACAACCTAGTACGTTTGGAATACAGTATTTCTAAAGTAACGTTGCGCTTTTAGAACAACATAATACTTAGTACTTTCGAAAGAACCAAGTAGTTTTCAATCAACGTGGTATACACTTCGGAGTCAATCAAAGCACTTTTGTCTAGAAAAATTGTTCCGGTCTCGCAGGAACCGCTGAAAATGTGGCAAGCGTGGTATGTCACCGAGAAATGCCGGACCTGGTCTTCGATCACCTGGAGCTGATGCGAACCGCTTATTTGGAAGACCGACAGCTTTATTGGCTGCAGTGCGCGATGGAGGAGAACTGCGTGGCCTCGCCAGCCTACAAGATACAAAGGGAGTCGGAAAACTGGCATCTGGAGACAAGGAGGCTGCTCCGATTCACCGCGAGGATCCTGAACGCCGGAACCGCGGACTTCCGACCCTCTGTTCCGAAACACCTCTGGGAATGGCATATGTGTCACATGTGAGTGATAAGCGTTCCGCTCGACGGAAACAGTCCCGATAAAGCGACGGTCAATTGCTTATCGGACCTCCAAATTGAGCTATTGACCACTCACCGGACCGCGGTCGAAAAAAGCTCGGCCTGCTATCTTGTTCGCTGACATTCGAAAATCGATTGCCGGCGCGGCAGAGTGGTAGTAATTAGTGGAAAGGTGCATTAGAGAACCGCGATTTTATCGGGTCCTTCGATGTTAGAATTGTTCGAGTAGACGAAATTCATCGCACACCATTTAGAACGGGATAACTTTCTTAAAATTTGACCGAATGATTTGTATTTTCTTTTATTTTTTTTTTTTGAGGTGTTAAAGGGATCAGTTTACTAGACAGTGGCTGAAAAATTGCAATTGGTTGGGATGTTAAAAACAGATCGCTTAGAGAAGAGATGCGGCGATTGAATCGAATGAATTTTTATGGAAAACCTCGGGCATATTTAATTTATTTAGAACAGTAGTAGTATGGCAGTGTGTGATTTATAGCAGAATCGTTCCGTGGAATTGCGACGTGTCCAACTTTTCCAAATTGAATCGACAGAATTAATAATACCGGACCGATTTTCTTCAAGAAAATAGTTCTGTTGCTCGGGGAAACGTTTTAGGACCGGTGACAAATGCGACAATATCAATATCAGCGCCGTTTCCGTCTTGCCTGGGAAATTGGACAGGCAAACTTTAAAACGCGTCTCGGTTTCCTCATTTTCCCACGCCGCCGGCAAAGGGTGTTGCTAGATGTTTTATAAAACTATTAGGGGGCCGAAGGGGAGAAAAAGTAATATAGGTCCAGCGGCGTTGGCGGTTTCCAACTTGTCCGCTGCAATGTGGTTCCATTTTTATCGGCGCTGGTGAATTTCTATTTTCCCTTGATACTTAGACGCCGCGCCGTATTGAACCGGAATAACTTTCGCACGATCTCTGGCATTTCGTTTTATTGCATTTAAAAAACATTCTGAATATCTTTATTTAGAAATGTTCTTTTATGCGTCTAAACAGTTTCGAAACCTCGATCGATCGTTATATTTGGACGTTTTCAGAACATTGAAAATTCGATGACAGTGTCTTCAATATGTTCGATATTTATAAAATATACTCAGTTCACTTGCCTAAAAGTACCGATTCGTTGAAAAAGAGACTAAAATCCAATCTTTCTGTTGCTAGTATTTTGCGATCACAATTAATCTCTTGTTGTAACATTTTCTTCGCAGTTACAACGATTAGATCTTCTCCGATTGTTATTCGAAGAAAAGTAAAATTTGTATCTAACGTTTAATTGAATGCTTAAATATTGATAAAGAAAGTACAGAATTTTATTCCCATTTAAACGGGCGGAATAACAATGATTAAAAATCTCTATCACGTGTCAGATTCGTTTTTATTCGTTTTTCTATTCGTTCATTCGTTTTTATTATTACATAGAGATTAGTTATCAATTTATTTGCAATAAATTTGATTTTCATGCAACTGTTCTGCAAAAATCGTGCGATGTTCAGGAGAGTTCACTGGAATTGTTTGGCTGATAAGAACTAGTAAATTCTCTCCAATTGTCACTCAGCTTTTGTGATCAAAAATGGAAGAAGATTTGGGAAGAAAAATTGTGGAAGAGAAGATACGATTATTTGAGCCTTGCAACTCGTTTTTATACTTGTTGACAATCGGCGCCTATAAAAACGAGCCACGAGTCTCGAATAATCGTGTCTCTTCTTCCCAAATTGGCCATTCTTTTTTAACAAACAGAGGGACAATTGAGAGATAATACTGTATTTCACCGCGAAATAATTTGGATCGCGTACTTCGAGGACACCGCGTAGGGTCTAATAGGCGTTCCCTGGTTGTCCAAGGTAAAATGTATTAGAAGCGCGAAAGCTACGCCCCTAACCTCCCCCGTTTTCGCATCCTTATCTGCTCCCTGGGATCCGATCTTTAATCATGAATAGGAGCGTAGTCTGGCTTCCAATCGTCGCGACGCCGGCGTCGAGATTACTCGAGGCGGGGATCCGGCCACGATCATTAATTCCGCATTACGGCTTGTTAACGACAGGCATTACCACTCGATGGAGGTGTTCGCTACGTTCGACGTGTTCGATGGGAACGGGACCAGGCTTGCCGAAGGGCACAAAGCGTCTTTCTGCTTGGAGGACAATCAGTGCATGCCGGGCGTCGAGCCCAGGTAACACCGGCGATCCCATCTTACGCTAGAATCGCAAAAAGCTTCGCAAAAATCGAATTTCCAAGGACCTTCAGGTTCTAGGAAGTTGAACAGCGTCTTCAGTTCGAAACTACTACTCTACGATATGAAATTATGATTCAGCGTTCGGACATTGAGATTTTATTTACACGTTCTTCAAAGTTCAGATTACGTCATAGCTTGCATAAATTTTGAAACGAATCAATCCATTATGGTTGAATGTAACGTTGAAGTCGCATAAAGATTTATCAGGTTTTTAAAATCCAATTTAATTTTTAGCAACAATGAAAAGTATCCGAATCTGTTCATTTTTCGTAGTCAAGACGTTACGCATCGCACTTTACGTATAAGAATAAACTAAAGTATTTTCAAAATTCTTTTTTGAGTTTGTCATTAATTTACTATTATATTAAAGTATTAAATACATTTTATATAAGTATATAACAAATTAGGATGATGGGTTAACTAGAATTTTCTGACGAAGCTTTGACATTCTTGTTCCAGCAAAATTGCTTTAGCTCTGTGATTGACGTACTTCTTTTTGTTATATTTAAATACAGATAAGAGTTATTCCAGATTACATGATAAAAAAAGACGTCTTTTTAATTACATATCTCTGTGGTATGGAAATGGTAAACCTATTACAACCCTTTCTAAACGTATACTTTCGCCAGCCCAAATTTTATTTCTCATAATTTTTATTTCTATTTTTTCTTTTCTTTCCGGAATTTTATGTCGCAACGAGTCCTTTTTGTCAAAAAAAAGATAAAGTACGGTCTACTGGTAACGTATAATAAACTGCCGAGCTCCCAATTTTGTCAGCTTTCTGCGTTTCTGGTCCATTGCGGATTGAAATACATAGTTACCTTTTTTTTTTAATTGGCCGACCAATTAAACGAGGCACATGCCGCGATTTCAGGTACAAATGCGCCAATTACGGTGACCAAGGAATTTCAGTAAACTGCAGCGACGTGTACAAGCACAATATCGATTGCCAGTGGGTGGACATATCGGAGCTCCAGCCCGGACAGTACACGTTTAAGGTACGGTTCTTCTGACGTCGACTTGATTGGGTCCCCGAGCATGTTTGTGCGTTCCGGAACGGTGGTTTTCTTCTGTGATAGGTAGAGTCTTGGTTTTATACGGTCACGTTGCTCGGAAGTCCATTGCGGATCTTTATGCAAAGGAAAATGTAGTCGATGCGATTTTAAGAAGGCTGACATTCCCGACGACATTTCTTGGTCAAATCTCTTAATACTGAACGAACCGAGCGCTAGAAGCGACTCGCGTATGATGCTTTACAAAAATAACCGGATAGAATATTTACGCAAAAATCATTATTCAATTATTTTCTATCAAAGAGAAATTATAGTCGGTCTAAACGGTATTCGCGTACGCCTTTTGAAACGGAATAACGTTGCTGAAAGAATTAAAAAACAATGTTTCGTCAACTTTTTTATTTGAGTCTGCGGCGAAGATTGAAAAATTTCATTGAAAATCGATCATTCAAAAACAGTGCCATTCGAAAGTCTATTAAATATACGATAAAAAATTATTAAAGTGCGATTCAAAAATTAAAGTTTATCGAGATATTCTTCAGTCGATTTTTAAGCCGAGAAACGTTCAAAATGTTCTCCATTAAAATATTTCATATTTTGTCAAGTGATCTTGATGTTTTGACAAAGAATGAAAATAGCAACAAAAACTATAGTCGCGCGTACGCTCCTGTTGATACGGAAAACAGCTTTTCTCCGAAACACGTTTTCGTGCAACCTGTAATCTACAAGAAACATTCCGGCGAAAGAGTGAAATGGCTCACCCTGTATATACACGAACGAAGAAGTTCGGCCAAGAATTTCTGTTAGCAGCACGGTTTCGTGATGTCGGGGAACTGTGAAAGAAAAAATCGGAAACCAGTGATTTCGACAGGTTCGGTGGTTCTAGTGTTAATAAAGGCCCGCTGACAATAATTGCTCGTAGGACTCGTTTAACGACCGCGGCGCAATAATGCTAAAAGTAGTAGCGAATCGAGACGGTGGAATCGGTTTCGGCGAAACCGATTGCATAACGAAAACATTACACGGCGAAGGGTACGTTAATCGGATGTACGGATCGGTCTGCGGAGGATGACGTTAATGGGCGCGCGTCGGATAAGAGCCGGTCTCCATATTGCACGCGAATAAATGGCCCCGGTCCATAAAACTGGCCGGGGAGAAGCCGAGCAATCGCGATGCCATAGGAGGGTAACGATAATCGAACGATATTTACGTTTTCAGGTCGCGGTGAATCCGGAGTTCAAAGTGGGCGAAATGTCGTTCGACAATAACGCGGCGATTTGTCGCCTCCTCTACACGGGAACCTTTGCCACTGTGCATGGTTGCGTCATGGGCCGGCCTTGACACGGGGCTATTACGCCAGTGATAACGTCGCCGTGGCTCGATGACGAGAGGCGGACGAGAAGAAAGAATCGAAACGGGCACGATAACGGACCGTTGTCAATCTATCCGGCAGCGATTCGTTCTGTTCTAACTCGCACTCAACAATAAACTGCCATTCTCAGCAATCTGGGCCCTCCACTCCTGCCTTCCTCTCACAGTGGTTGCCATTTTTTTTTTACTGCAGCCCCTTTTGGGACCTCCCGTTTTCTTTGCAGCGGATGTCACAGTCCGCTCGACGTCGAGTGTTGCAGAAAATTCACACGGTAAAACGAAATAGACCCTTGATTATTCGGGGCCATTTTGGGGACCTTTTTGAGAGCCTTCTTATTTTTGCGGCGAAATTTTCATAGCTTCTTGAACGTCAAACATTTGACTTAATTTAAATGATAAAGTGAAATACAATAGAACTTTAATTATCTGGGGCCTTTTTGTGGGCCCTTCATGTTTTGTAGCGAAATTTTCATAGCTTCCTGGACGTCAAACGTTTGAATTAATTTAAATGGTAAAGTGGAATACACAATAGAACCTTAATTATCTGGGGCCTTTTTGGAAACTTTCTGGGGGCCTTTTTGAGAACTTTCCTTCTTCTCCTTTCCGGTAAAATTTGCATAGTTTCATGAATATACGGCGTTCGTGCTGATTTAAATGGTAAAATGAAACACGGTGGAATCTCGATTATTTGGGGTCTTTTCGAGAGAGGACCGTTTTGCGAGGCCGTCTTGAGTGACTTTATTTTTCTTCACAGCGGAACTTTAAAGAGTGTTTTATAATCCACCGAGTTCTTAGAATCCTCCCCAATATAACCGTTTTATTGCCGCATTAACTACGAGGACCTCGAGGCCTGAAAAAGTGTCGCGCTTCCGGTAAGCAGCGCGGTTTACTTACTCGTTGATTACTCACGCGATACGAGAGTTAAGGGTTTAATGCAGTGTGCATGCTCGAAACGAAGTGTACAACGTCTTCAGAGGCCCGTTCAGCAAAATTACTCTCGCACAAGGTACCTAGTAACAATTTACGACCTTTTTAAAGTCGGATTAACGAGTTTCTTATACATACAGCGAATCGAGAAAGTCAATTCATCGGAGACGTTGCTCCTACTTCGACCGATCGTGAACGATCGTCTAACGATTAAAATAAACTGCTATCAACCGTTTAGAAACGGTTATTCGAACTCGCAGACAACGTTAAACATTTTCAAGAAACTCCGTTCCCGAGGTATGTAGCTTTTAATATCAGTCATCGCAGTTTGACGGCCAATCTTCCGACCATTTTTCATCTAATTTCACTGCCACTTTCCCTCACCCTACGACACGAGCCGTTCATTCATCTTCCACGTGCATTCTCAATCTTCCTGACTGATTAATGCCACAATGTTTCATCCACTCCGGTGACTCGACGAAATTGTTATGCGTTAACAAAAAACTGTTTCATCATTCACGATCGCAACAGTGTGAACAAGTCAGATGGAACACCGGAATCCGTCGTTTTACAATGTTTACCGTGTTATTTCTGTAACGCACCATGCCATTAGTTGCGCAACACATCGAGTGACCGCTCTTTTAATTAGAAAAGCAGCGGTCAGCTTTACAAGACGATAAGACGGCAAAATACATTTTTGTTCACCGTTTGCTATTTATACTTTTGGTACGAACATTTTTATTTTGTATCAATATCGTTATCGGACAAGCGATCATATGCTTTTGGATTATTAGTCTACGATTTTTATGTTTGTCCAGCGCACCAAATTGTTTAAATTTATGGGCTTCTTAGAACAGTTTTAATTACCACCTTGTTGAAGTCAAATTTATTGAATTTTTGAAACAAATTCTTACTTTCTTTCATATTTTCAGATTTATCATTCGACTGCGAATTTTATGCGTTTATAAGAGAAATTAACGGATGAAACACAAAACAGCGACACTGTTAGAAAAATATAACAATTTCGTGATATCATCATTGAAATGATTCAAGTCGGGAATAAACGTTCGTTCAGTTCCCGTTTCTTGCAATTGATGCATAACATTTTTATTTCGCGTAATGGTCCGCAATACGTTTATTACAATATCCTTACATGTAATAATGTTAACAACATTGTATTATGGTGTAGTTTCGAAAGGAATGCACGTATATTTCGAGCCGGGTCTACGTTCTTGATCAGACAAAACGTCCGAGTTCTGGAATCAAAATAGCTTCGACTGCACAGGGTTAATAGCTAGTTTTAACAATAAAGTAAACAATAGGCACGCGGCGAATATTTTTACGAAATAATTACAATCGAAACAGCAACTATAATTGAACGCAGCAAGGATTAAACGTGCATTTTCTGACAAATTTCCGCAGACATATCGTTATCGGACAAGCGATCATATGCTTTTGGATTATTAGTCTACGATTTTTATGTTTGTCCAGCGCACCAAATTGTTTAAATTTATGGGCTTCTTAGAACAGTTTTAATTACCACCTTGTTGAAGTCAAATTTATTGAATTTTTGAAACAAATTCTTACTTTCTTTCATATTTTCAGATTTATCATTCGACTGCGAATTTTATGCGTTTATAAGAGAAATTAACACAAAACACAAAACAGCGACACTGTTAGAAAAATATAACAATTTCGTGATATCATCATTGAAATGATTCAAGTCGGGAATAAACGTTCGTTCAGTTCCCGTTTCTTGCAATTGATGCATAACATTTTTATTTCGCGTAATGGTCCGCAATACGTTTATTACAATATCCTTACATGTAATAATGTTAACAACATTGTATTATGGTGTAGTTTCGAAAGGAATGCACGTATATTTCGAGCCGGGTCTACGTTCTTGATCAGACGAAACGTCCGAGTTCTGGAATCAAAATAGCTTCGACTGCGCAGGGTTAATAGCTAGTTTTAGGGGCATTGCCGATGACTATAGTCTTCATCCAGTGCACGCTGCATTACCCTCGAAGGTGTTATAGATCGGCGCCTTAGCCGCGCAACCAGTCGGACAGATCGAAGCCAGAAGGACGACCTCCTCGCAGCTGATGCTCGCCGCGCACGGAATCTCAAGTTTTGGAGTCTAGGACCGAATTTATAGACGTCGGCCCTCGCTCGCTATCCTCATAGTTTGTTCTAGATTTTAAACTGCGACTACGCTAATAAATGAACAATTCAGGAGAGAGGCTTGTCGTCTACCGCATTGCTCCCGGTCTAGTCGATACTCGGTGTCCTGAAATACTCGATCCAAGAGTCGGCCTCTCCTGCGAACACCTGGTGCAGATATAACTGCAAGCAAGGATCAGTACCTCTGCTACGATTTATCGCGCGTTTTGCCTTCAAATATTTTGCAAATTTTGTTCAAGCTTTGTCGCTAGGATTTCTGTGCAAATTAGAAATTTTGTGCCTCGATTTTCTGTGGTGCTGTCGCTCTTTCAACAAGGATCAGAAATTTCGCCGCGATTTCTTGCATCCTTCGTCCTGAAATATTTTCCGATTTTTGACCGAGTTTTGCGAGTTTTATGCAAGTTACGAATTTTGTGCAACAGTTTTCTGAATTTGGAGCCATCGTTCTTTCAACAAGGATCAGAAATTTCGCTGCAATTTCTTGCATCCTTCGTCCTGAAATATTTTCCGATTTTTGACCGAGTTTTGCGAGTTTTATGCAAGTTACGAATTTTGTGCAACAGTTTTCTGAATTTGGAGCCATCGTTCTTTCAACAAGGATCAGAAATTTCGCTGCGATTTCTTGCATCTTTCGTCCTGAAATATTTTCTGATTTTTGACCGAGTTTTACGAGTTTTATGTGCACGGTAGGAATTTTATGGAATAGTTTTCTGAATTTGGAGCCATCGCTCTTTCAACAAGGATCAGAAATTTCGCTGCAATTTCTTGCATCCTTCGTCCTGAAATATTTTCCGATTTTTGACCGAGTTTTGCGAGTTTTATGCAAGTTACGAATTTTGTGCAACAGTTTTCTGAATTTGGAGCCATCGTTCTTTCAACAAGGATCAGAAATTTCGCTGCGATTTCTTGCATCTTTCGTCCTGAAATATTTTCTGATTTTTGACCGAGTTTTACGAGTTTTATGTGCACGGTAGGAATTTTATGGAATAGTTTTCTGAATTTGGAGCCATCGCTCTTTCAACAAGGATCAGAAATTTCGCTGCAATTTCTTGCATCCTTCGTCCTGAAATATTTTCCGATTTTTGACCGAGTTTTGCGAGTTTTATGCAAGTTACGAATTTTGTGCAACAGTTTTCTGAATTTGGAGCCATCGTTCTTTCAACAAGGATCAGAAATTTCGCTGCGATTTCTTGCATCTTTGGTCCTGAAATATTTTCTGATTTTTGACCGAGTTTTACGAGTTTTATATATGCACGGTAGGAATTTTATGGAATAGTTTTCTGAATTTGGAGCCATCGTTCTTTCAACAAGGATCAGAAATTTCGCTGCGATTTCTTGCATCCTTCGTCCTGAAATATTTTCCGATTTTTGACCGAGTTTTACGAGTTTTAGGCAAGCAAGGAATTTTGTGCAACAGTTTTCTGAATTTGGAGCCGTCGTTCTTTCAACAAGGATCAGAAATTTCGCTGCGATTTCTTGCATCTTTCGTCCTGAAATATTTTCCGATTTTTGACCGAGTTTTACGAGTTTTATGCAAGCGAGGAATTTTGTGCAACGGTTTTCTGAATTTGGAGCCATCGTTCTTTCAAGAAGGATCAGAAATTTCGCTGCGATTTCTTCCATCTTTCGTCCTGAAATATTTTCTGATTTTTGACCGAGTTTTACGAGTTTTATGCACGATAGGAATTGTGTGCAACAGTTTTCTGAATTTGGAGCAGTCGTTCTTTCAAGAAGGATCAGAAATTTTTTCTACGATTTCTTCTATCTTTTGACTTCAAATATTTTCTAATGTTTAATCAAGCTTCGTCGCCAATATTTTTATGAAAAATAGGAATTTTGTGCATCGATTTCTTGAATTAGCAGCCATAACCTTTCGAATAAAGATCGGAAATTCTGCTATGATTTTATCACGTCTCTGAGCACTTTCTATGCACTTTGAAAATCTTGTGCATCGATTTCGTAAATTATAAGCAATACAGATAATTTTATCCCTCTCTAATAATTGAAATAAGTTGAATCGATGTTCCTCAATTCTTCAAATCTGTCTCCCATTTTAAATGGCGCTTACTCGTTCCTCTCATAAATGTATAAAATCCACTCTCTTTTGGGTTTCCCGACTGAAAGTTTCATTTATCGGTAAAAAGATATTGGGCCTTGTAAGGTTTCGTACAAATCGAGAATTGATCGTTCCCAAAGCTAATGGATTGTTGAAGACTCTGGAGATTCTTTGTTTAAAAGTAGATCGCCTTTCCTCCGATAGCTGCAGTTCATAAGTTCAATTAGCCGCGATTAAATAAAACGGTGCGGAAGTTCGGAAGTTTCAATTGGTTTGGTCTCTTTTTCTCTCTGAGCGAAGACGGTGCCACGTTCGATCATGATTGCCTATAATCCGATGATTAGAAGCGGCCGAGAATCAGTCGCTTCACCTACTTCTTTTCGCTACGCTGAAGAGGGGCCTTGGCTGCCAATTAACTCGATCGCAAAATGAATTCTATATATAATACAACAAAAGTTGACGCTGCTGCCGACCGAGCAACCATCGATATTCCAGAAAATCAAAGTAATTCACTTAACGCTGGAAATAGGTCAAAAATAACTGGTTTCCGACTTCATCGTTCAGAGTTACTGAAATTATCGAAACATTTGTACGAGTTCGAGAAACTTCGCTCTACTGAAACACACTGTTACCGACGAAAATTAAGGAACATGTTACCCAGATGCATATACGTATATTCTCGTTTGCAGTAAATATTTGTATTGCGTCAACGAAAATATTAATTCTGTTTTTTCATAATTTTTTAATTTCTTATTTTCATTTTATTTTACATCTTTTCCTCTTTACATATTTTCCATCCTTTTATTTGCCGTGTGTAAATAAAGCAATATTATAATATTGCAATATTGTAATATTGTAATATTGCATTATAATATCCACATACTTTCAATTTAATACGACGTACAGTCATTAAAATAACAAATTTTACCCAATAGTGATGTAACAAAAATTTCTTAACCTTTGTCGGTAAGTGTATATTGTAATAAAAATCGTACGAAATTTTGAGTAAATCATCGTTTGAAAACAATGTAGTCTAAAAACAATTCGGTAGTCTAAAAATGTTTGAAACTGGTCAAACAATTTTTAGCAATATTCAAAATAGATCAAAGAAATGCTGCACCACCGGTGAATGTAATAGTAACTTCGATAGAATAAACCGTTCATTTACATTTCATTAGCTTAATGTACTAGATAGTGGCAAAGCATTAACCTATTTTTACCGGTTACATAAAATATTTCGGATCGTAATTTTCCCGGTTAATTAGTCCATCAGGTGTTCGAAAATCGAGTCAGGCCGCAATTAATGCATAATTAATTTCTGATATTCTAATTAAGTTTAATTTTGTAACTTCGTGTCCCTCCCTTAGGCACCGTCATCTCCTGAGTGCGGAAACCCACTGCACCCTTTATGGTCAATATAATTGCATCAACAGAATTATTAGATATATAATTTATTTCATTAATTTCATTAACATTAATTTCTTCTGCGATTCTCAAATCTTCCGACGCTATTTACACACTGTGTACTCTCCAACTAAATTATTAATTTAGATTATATTCAGGGTTATTTATACAATAATAGTTGATAATAATAGTTATTCATTTATATGAACAGGGGAATTGAAATGTTCAGTACATTAATAATAATAATAATTTTTCTACCACTTTTCTTTCCTTTTATTTTTTTATTTCATCTGTCCTTGCGTGACTGGTACCATATTATTACTCTGCCTCATTGCAACAAAGCGTTCACCCCGTTGCAAAATAAAGTTGTTATTATTAAAAAATAATGATAATAATAACATGAATTCCGAAACCATCGAACATTACGAATTCATTGCCGCACCGCGAATCTTCGCGTGGATCTAAATTTTTCATGTATTTCCCTCGATAAACGAGACTAATTGGTAAAGTGATACTATTAATTATTTAACCTCCGCTAACGATCGCGCGTCCCTTTACCCGCGCTGCTCTCCGATACTACAACAGTATCGAATCGAAGGTTCAGCGTAGGATTTCGGATCCGAGGTATGATAGTATGACAGGGGCCTCTAACGAGCGACGGTATCGATAAATAGGGACTCATTCGAGAGCCGCGTTCGCCCCGATGAACCGAAAAATAGCGAGCGGAGAGAGGCAACGATCTATCGAAAGTTATGAAAGTATTGCAGATCTGTCTGAGGCGAACGTCGAAAATTCCGGGGGGAAAAAAGGTCCTAATTTCACGGCGAGCGAAGTCATTATGCCAGCAAGAACCGAAAGGCATCGTCCCCGATCGCTGTCGGTATCTCGATCGGGGGGGGGGGGGGGGGGGGGGGGCAA